GCGGAAGTTTGATCTTTGCTTATAAATAATTGTAAGCTTTTCCTTAAAAAAATTTAGAGTTCAAATGCAGCCTTCTTCTATTTGAAAATTAGCATTCAATCAAGCTAAGTTTTGAAAATTTTGATTCTAAAATTAGGAATTTTGTTATTGTCAGATATTCGAATAGCAGTATTTTGGAACTGACTTTGGCATATCGTTTAACAAAATTATATATATGCATGAATATCTATCACCACCATAAAACTGCAAATCAACAAGAAAATAATTTTCAAATAGAAGAAAGCTTGTTAATAATATTTGAATAACTTGTTTTTATCGTGATTTCTAGAAGTCTGTATTTAATATATATAAATATCCAATAATAACTTGCTTCTACTACCCTTGTGGTTTCAGTTTTCTTAGTAATTCCAGAATACTTATTTTTAGCAATTACTTTGAGATTACTTAACAATTGGAATGATGCACAGTGAGTAGCAATTTTAATAGTTAATAGCTAATATTTCCAAAAAAGTAATAATTGAACATTCGCTTATAATTGGAAACGAATGAACTAAAACAATTAGTAACATTAGTGTTAGCATTCTAAGCATTTAAGTAAAACAATTACTCAACGAATTGTTGCAGTAAATAAACAACTTTTTATGAATTTTTGCAGGCAAAATAAGGTGACAATGAATAAATAATTTGCATACTGAGAAAAATTAAAAAATTTCTTTCAAGTAAAAAGAAATAAACACTAATCCAAAGTAGTTTAAAGTAATCTAAAGTAATTAATCTTTAATTATTTTAGATTACTTTCTTGCGAGTAACGTAACGCAATCGAAGAGTGGCGAAAAAACTAAAACTTTTATGGTACGTTTATGCAAAATAAAAAAATAATGCACTAAATTCGTCAGTTTTTCATTTTCTACGTAGATTACGTGATTTTTCGAAGTGACTGCAAGATAGCGGAGTATATATAAACTTATAGCAATAAAACAGATGTGCTGATTTTAAGTAAACATAGCGTCTGCTCTGAAACTATTTGCTTTGCCTATTTTCAAAACAAGAAATGTTATGCTTATAAACTGCTATATGAATTCTTCTATTAAACTAATTAAGAATATTTTAATTACTACTTTTATTTCCAATTCTTTTTAAACTTCAAGATAACTTAGTTCTGATATAACAAATACTAATATTAAAACAAATTTGTTTTTGTGATTTGAAGAATTTTCTTCAATCAAATTTAATTTCAAATTATTTGCCAATTTACCAAACTAATGCTATCGCACTTTATCGTGATGTATTTTGAAGCATAGAACCATATTCGGGTCGAATAGTAACGATAAAGAAGAGTATACTGGCTCCTAACATGGCTGCTCGTTCTTGAACTGTTGTTCCGCCGCTAAAATTCAAAAATATTTAAATATGTAAATTTTGTTGTCAATTTCATGTTAGAAATGTCTTTAAAACTGGTGCTCATAATAACTAGTTTGTTTAAGGTCAATCACTGACCTTGACTTACTGCGGAATGAAGAAAACTGCTAAGCTTACGCATTTTTTTCTTTTAAGACATAAACTTTGCTAAAGATACAAAAGCTCAATAATGCATCATTTAACAAGCAGAAAACTCGACAAGTTGAGATCAGAAACAATTCATTAAATGCATTAATTCTCGTAACTCTTACTGGAAATGCAGTCTGAATAAAATTATCTGCACGTAAGCATAATCTCATCTTCATTATTACAGGCTATTATAATAATTTATCATATTATCATACAGAAATGGAATCAATTCTTTGCATTTTTAATCTCAAATATAAATATTTATGTTCTAAATTGAGTTTTGGCAAATAATTGAATGCTTGTAGCCATGCGAAATACAGTCGCAATTTATAAATGATTTGTCTCTGTGAAAATTCTTAAATTTCAACTATTTATATTTTTAAAAATTTGTATTAGAAAAAATGGAAAACAAAAGTCCGTTAGCATATATAAGGGAACGGATCAGTCAGTGTTCAAAAATACATGTAGGAAAAGTAATATTTAAGGTGATATCAAAATAAGAATTTATATGATTAAAAAAATGGACCAAAAACTAGTACCTATAATTCATAATAACGGATTCAGCGGTAGAGAAGTACGATGGCCTGAGAAAGCCAACTTTTTCGTTATTTAGTTTAAAAAATTCCAAGGACTGATCAGCATTAATGCAATAAAAATATCGTAAAATATTGCTAAATGATCCAAAAACCTAAAAATCAATCAGTTATAATTTCATTTTAATTGTTTGGTTTTTCAAGTTCAGATAAATTATTAAATTATTTTAAATAATTTATTAGCAGCTGAAAATATGAAATTTTATTGCAATTTATATTGCAACTTTCTAACAAAAAATTCAAATAAGTAAACTTTTGGAAGTAAAAAATTATTTTAATTTAGATTAATTTTAAAATGTTTTCATATTTTTCTGTTAC